TTTTCTCATTGGTTGATAACTATTAAACCAAGTTAAAAGACAGTCTTCACACTAAATTTAGTACTTCTTTTTGCTCACCAGGAAAACATACTATACCTATATTTATTTAAGGAATTACAGAGCTTAAAATACAGGTTTCTTAATTTTTACATTTTTATGTTAGAAAATGGTAAATCATTCATGTATTATTTTTTTGCTCAAGATTTGTGCCATGCTGAATTTGGGTGGTAACTGGAATTCAATTAAAATTCACAAACTGAATTTTCAAATTGTAATTCATTAAATAAAGTCTACTTAAATGTGCAGGATACATAAGAAAAAAATAAGTATCAACACGTTTTTGCTGGTAAACCTAACTGATTTAAGAAAAAAAAAGTGTAACTGTGGTTAGTGATTGGAATGGATTGTTTCTGGAGTTCAGTATTTTAGAACCCAATAGATCTCATCCTCATACTTCATTTTTATCCATAACCTGGAAGAAGAAAACAAACATTCCTGTTTTTTTCAACTCCAAGTTTCTCAACTTTGAATGAACTAGTCACTGAACTGAACTAGTTGGATACAGTGAAATGAAAACGATATTCTCTTTGCACCTGCAGAAGAAGCTACTGCTGTCAAAATCTGGTTTAGCAAATCAACAAACTCTGATTCCAGGTGCTTAGCCAGTGACTTCCATCAGTTCACTGGTTTGAGTTTCTTTAAAGTTTTGGCAGCAAACATGGACTGCCTGAATATTTTTTATTTGTGTTATTTTAGTATAGTGTAGTACATTTAGTCCTTAATATGGATTGTCATAATTTCACATTTAATTTTAAACAGGTTTATTTTTTTTTAAATAAAGTATTTAATTTAAATAAAAAATGATTGAAATGAAAAAAATCTGATTTAAGTTTAAGAGATCAATTTTTATCCACTCTGCCAGGAAGTGTGCCAGAGAGGCCAAAGAAAGGGACCGTGCTAGAGCCTACTCAGACTCAGGAAGCTTAAAACATACAGGTACAGCGTGTTTAGGACCCAAACACAGCAGCCTGGTGAGTGTCCAGAAAAGGGAGGCTGATCGGGGCTGACATCATAACTGCCAACCCTGCAAGTTCTGTCTAGAATTTGAGAGGCAGTGAAAGAATTTGGGACACTCATTGTACTGCACGAGAAGGGGCTTTGCTATGACCCTGATTCAGGAAAGGAAAACAGCACCTACGCCTGTCCTGTTCACAGAGATTAAAGCACATGCGTAAGTGGCATCTTGACTAAGGATTTAAGCATATGCTTGCCTAAAGAGGGGTTTATAAGCTGTTTCATAAGATCCCCCCTTGAAGGTACTTATTAATCAAGCCTTATAGTTTTATTGTAAACAGTTATTCTCCTAAGTACTTAGTAAAATATTTGGTTTTCAAGAGTGTAATTCATGTGTTTTGTATCTGCTAAACAAACACATAGGGCCTGATCCACCCGTTGTTACAGTTTTTACAAGTAGGATGTCAATTAGCTTCCATTGCGAAGTGAGTCAATGTCCTCGTCTGGGAGTGGATGTTTTGGGTGTGCAAGGAATGCAACATAAAGCCGTAAGAGTGCCCCAGACCACTGGCAACGCAGGGCTCGTACAGACTAGTGATGTGCTGAAGATATCTATCTAACACATATGCAAACAGAGCAATCTGTCAGATCCCTCAGCAGGGGGGCCAGATGCAGTTTACCAATAGCAGTGGGGACACCACAGCACTTGTACAAAGACAACCGGGGGCATACGGAAACATAGGTCAAGCATGAGCTGGAGCCACAGTTTTTCAGCTGCTGGGACATGGGCTACTTAAAGGGCTGACCTGGCTTCAGTGTCTTAACTCCAGGAGAGGAGAGAAACACCTATCATCAGCCAGATGGAGCACGTCAGCTGCATAGGTGCCTATGCCCCGACCCTCTCTGGGACATTTTGCTCTTGGCTAGCGTAGGTGGCTCCCTGCTCAGCTTGCTGGTTTCTGAGAATCCCTTTCTTAGGTGCCTAACTCTCCCATGCACATGTACCTAGCTCAGGGCCGATTACACCAAGCGGTAGGCCGCCTAGGGGGTAGGTACTGCAATGGTGAGCAGAGCACTGCCAAGGCATCTTTGATGATCTGGGCCTAAGTAACTTCGGAGCCTATGAAAAAATTATGGGATGTAGGTGCCTAAATCATTTAGGCGCTTTTGAAAATGTTGTCCACCATCTCATCTTTTTAACGCCATCAGTACCAGGCATACAACAGTTCTCAACCCTGTGATAGGTAAATGTGTGTGGCTCTAAAGAAAAGGTCGAGGAACTCTTGTGTGAATGGACCCATGAGGACCTGTTTGCAAGACCAGGTCTTTGGTTTGCTTTGTTTTTTAGATTCCCACCTTAATGATCTGTCCTTCTTTAAATGGTAGCTCTTCTTCTGCAGCATCAGGATTGGGGGACATTGTCAGTGGATCATAGTCAAAGAGGGCAACAAATATTCGAGGAGAAATATCCTCTGTGCCAGGATCTGTTTCTGATTCTTCATAAATATCTGGAGAAAGATGGTCCCGACTACAGTATCCATCTGTGAAAGTAAGATCAGAAGGAGCAAAAATTCAGCAAGGCAAGTCAGAATAATTTTTCAACTTAGGTCGGAAATTTGTTCCTATATTTCCGTTTGAAATGGGACTACATTACCGTGCACTAGGGAACTTATAATGTGCTCCAACAGGGTCTACACAGGCCAGTTAGGGCGCAGCCTGCTAGTGCACATTAGAATTTGCATCCCTCTACCATGGACGAGTGCACTGTGTAGATAAGCCCTGTGCTTGCATTGGTCAGAGGAACGGCACTAGGACATGACTAGTCACAACGGTGTTTAAACAAAGTTATTGCTAACACGGTCCCAACCCTCCTGTGAATGGGACTAAGGTTAAACTAATATAACAAAATATGTTTATGGTCCAGCTGTGTTCCCATACAGTTGTTTCTTGCCTACAGTTGTGTTGTAATCCATCTAGACCTGTTAGCTAGGGTTGCATTTAAGCCAAACACATATTACCCATATATATATATTAAGACACTGATCCTGCATTGAACTTTGTGCAGGTGAAAGAGCCCAGTGCAGGATTGGGAATTATCAGGACAAATACCTTTGTCCAATGCATAGTAAAAGCCAAGTCCCTTCAAAATATGTCAAGTCGGGCACCCAAAACATGAACCACCTAAATCACTGCTGAAAATCTTGGCCCATCACACGTTTAACTTTAAGCATATGCTTACATCCCATTGACTTCAACAGGAGTCAACCTCTTGCCTAAATGTTTTACTGAATCAAGGCCTTTAGCTACATCACATAGTCTTCCAGATCTTCCACTATTATCAATTTTCCCCCCTAAAGGCCTGCTTTATATGTTAAATCTATATATTTAGTCCCAATATTTCTGTTTTAATGATATCTGCATCATAGAGATTATATATTTATTGAAATAATTTAAATGTTTGATTAAGGATTTAGTACAGAACTTTTTTTAAGATGACCCTCCCCTCTTTACCTACTGCTAATGCCACAGAACTCTGTTAAACAATTTTTTGTAATTAAAAAATGGTCAGTTTAGAGGGGCACAGCTTCAAGGGGACGGCTACTGAAACTTGTGTCCAGAACACTATAAAGAAGGTGGATAAAGAAATGCAGAACAGCCAAAGGGTGGGAAATACAGTCCAGCCAGGAAGCTTTACACAGGCACAAAGCACAGGAGGGAAGTGGAACAAGGACAGGACATGGACAAATGGCACCGGGGATTTTCCCCCAGTTGCAATGATGTTTTATTCCCACTGTCAGATGGACTGGAAATGCAAAACAGGGTTTTTCTTCGGAGTATTGCGCATTCTGTTTTTTAAGTGAGACAGGTTAAACTATGCCCTCTTGGCCTGGCAGCCGACTCCAGCAGACGTCAGTTGGAGTTAGTTACAAGCATGAGTTGTGCACAGACTTTATCAAAACAGTTCTGAACCGGAATGGTGATGATTCAGAACGGTCACGTCTGCTTCAGGCAACGAGAGTAGACATGCGCTGCTCACTGGCTGCTGTAGGCCAGATTTTCAGCTAATGTAAATTGGCATAGCTCCATTGGAGTCCCTGAACTATGCTGATTTATACCAATTGATGATCTGGGTCTATATATTCAGAGCTTTTTGCTCTCAAACCTAAAAACCAGATACCTACCTGTAACTGTTGTTCTTTGAGACATGATGGTCATGTGCATTCCATGTGGGTGTGTGCACACCCTGGGCACCGTAGCTGGAGAACTTTGCCTAGCAGTATCCATAGGGTCGGTGCTCACACCCTGAAGCCTAGCCCTTCCCCTGGCTGTACAAAGGCTGTGCTGCCCCAACACCCGCAGTTTCTTTGCACCGAACATCAGAAGTACAGACTCCGATGCCGAGGGGACAGAGGATGGATTGTGGCATATACGTCTGCATCACATCTTGAAGAACAACAGTTATGGGCGGGTAACCATTTTTAGTTCTTTGAGTAGATGCAGTCCTGTATTCCAATATTTGCAGGAGGCGGGGCACGGAGTCTATTCAAAGGAGGACGGCAGGACTGCCTTCCCGAAGTTTGCATCTGATCTGGACGCAGCCGTGATGGCATAGTAGTTTGCACAAGTATGCGGAGAGGACCAGTTGGCCGTCCTGCAGCTGTCCAATATAGGAATGTCATTTAGAAATGCCATTGACGTCGCCTGAGCTCTAAACTAACATTTAAACTAAACCTAATGTACTACTGCTGCTACATACAAGAAAAGGGCTCAGGAAAGTGAGAGCAGACGTGTCAGGTGAAGACACACAGCATTCTTACTCCAGCCATGGGCGGTGAGAAGGAACGGAGGAGGTTGTGACAGCACTGCTCTTATACAGCCAGGGGAGGGGCTAAGGCTGCATCTACTCAAAGAAGAACACTTTTTTTATTAGTGATTTGTTTAAATGTTTACTTTGGCTTCTTTTTTGCTTCATTTGAAAGATGAACACAAAACGTAATGCTTCTCCCAGCTTCAGACCTGGCCTAAGCCACTTTTCGGTGGGAATGGTTAAGTACTTTAACTCACTGTGTAATGAGCTATGAAAGGCTGAGAATTTTGTGCAATTATGCAATGGCTTCTTATGTTGATGAAGCAGCAAACACAATCGATAATGGGTGGGAGACAATTACTACCTTACATATGTCAATTAGCACTTGTAGTAATACACATGCTTTTAAAAATAAATTTAAGTTTTTCCTTCACTGAAGGTCTGATCCAAATCCCAGTGAAGTCAATGGCAAGGCACCCATTGACTCCCAGGGGCTTCAGATCAGCCCTAAGCCAAACCAATAAACTAGGAGTGATGCTTGAGTAGTGCTGCTTCTCACTATGGAAGAGTTGATGATGATGAACCATCCCCATTTTGGCTCTGTCTAGTGCTAGATTTGTGAATCAAGTTGAAAGGTGATCTTTTTGATCAATGAGTGTTCAAAGGTGCATACATTAGCTGTTAATTGACATTAAACAGCCACGGAGGATAAAGGAGTAGCTTCACAGAGGTTCATGCAATGCAGTGTGCTTTGACTTGTTTCAGTATGGAAAGCTGGTTGCATGACAGGTATCAGTGGATGACGAAGGGCTCTTCCTCCCTTACAGCTGAGCTGAGCTGAACAAACTTACCTGGAAGCAGGGCAGACAGGACTTAAGCGTTAGCTCCCCTTGCATTCTGCATTGCATGCGATGTTGTCATACAGAAATGGCACTCATTAACACCCAGCTCTAAATGCGTCTTGTGTCAGAAAGGATGAAGAAGGGTCGGCCTACCGTATCTATAGTCAGAGGCCATGGTACGCTGCTGTGACCATTTCCTGTGTCCATCAGTGCTGCGATTATACGCTTCTTCTTTTACAGGGGAAATATTTCCCTCACTACCTGACCGAGACCGACCGCCTTCACTGTTACTGTCCATTGTAATTTCTATGGAGAAAAAGGGAATGATCTATTAAACATACGTTATAGTCTTCTCAGTGGAGGCTCCTGAGGGCAGGCTTTGCCTACCTTCTTTTCTGACTCAGCTATAGCAGGATGGCTAACCACCTGCAGAACTATGTGTGGCCGGTTTACTGACTGATTCTCCAGTGATTCTTCTCCAGGCACACAGAATGGGGTGTTTGCTTTTTAAAAGGTCTTGCCTTCATGCTTTTTAAAACTTGCCTGGATTTCTGGAGGGTAAATGCAGACTGAGTTCTGTGGGGCAGGAAACTATATTTTTGTTCTGTGTTTGCACAGCGCCAAGTACAATGGGATCCTGGTCCATGACAGGGACTCCTAGGCATTATGATAACACAAATAATAAACAACAACAATCAGCGTTGTAATCCTATGTCCCACTTCTGCAAGGTCAAGGGGAAAATGTAAAATACATTTTATCTTTGGAAGTAGAATATCTAAAACCAGAATTAAGTTGAAAATTTTCTGTTTCCAATATGTTCGTAATCTAACAGGGAAATAATCTAAAATGAGTTTAAATCTGGGACCTTTTGGATAAAGATGTGTCCCAGGAAATGTGCTCAATACATTTCTATAAGGAAATAAACTGTGACCCCTGTAAATAAACCCATACTGATAAATGTTGGCAGCCCCACGTTCTTTGGCCCTAATGGAATAAAATCTCTAACTGCAGTTAATGGGAGTTTTGCGCCAATAAAAACTTTAGAATTTGGCCAAACTTTTTTTTTTTTTTTAAAAAGAACCCTCTTTTTATGATGAAAGAGCCATAATATCGGTTTTATTCAGTCTTCACTCAGGCAAAACTCTCTTGGAAGTCAATAGGAGCTTTGCCTGAGTGACGACAGTGTGATCAAGCTGGTACAATGTACTGTTACAGGATTTGATTGGATACATTGGCTTTATTCAGTCTATTTATCCGCTCTGCTGATCTATTCCCCATCCTCTTGTTTTCTGTAGGATAACTATTGTGTGATTTTTACCCAATGCTTGTCTTGACTGCCGTACATTATTGACGTGGGTAATTATTACATCGTGGGCACCTATTTATCACCAATTACATTTTTAATAGCTAACTAATCGGCTATGTTGATTTTATTAAATGCCTTGCTGAGTTAAGAGAGCCATGTGTACTGCATGCCTGATAACTCAGCTTCCCATTAGTTCTGTTCCTGTGAACATTATGAGAAACCTGTTCTCTTTGTTTAAACATGGCAATACAATCAAAGAAGTTGGCAGTTAGGAATCCCGGACCATAACCACATCACATTAAGAATGATACTGGATAGGGTCTTTCATCAATTTCACAGAAGACCAGAGAGTAATTCTTTCATTAGATGCTGAAAATACTGCCACTGTGGGTTATGTCTTATCAGTGTTAGACAATATTGTAATTCAATCCTAATGTGACTTCCCCAGAAAAGCATTCACAGAGCATACTTACTGCAAAATACACTAATGCATTCTTGAACTCACACTAAAGCAGCAGATTAGAGCCTTATATTTTATTCTCTGTTTAATTATCAATTTGAATGTGGACTGATTATAAAAAATGAATTCCTTCTTATCTACTTCCTAAAATGCTGCTCTTTAGCTACAGAACAGTGAAGTCATTATTTAATAGTTCCTTGGGTTCCAACCTTGTTTAGAGAAAGTGAGGCCTGTTGTATTTAATCAGCCCCCCCCCCCAATCCACATCTTTCCGTCAAAATCAGAGTTAAAGGAAAACCCAAAGGATTAATTTAACCAAAATTATTTCAAATCCCACCCCCAACTATTTGTTGTTAAATTATTTTAACAGGTGATAAAAAGAAAATCTTAAATGCACAATATATTTTAAGTATTCCAGGCATAATTCACCCCTCCCCACCAAAATATTTACTCTTGGAAAAAAAAAAGCTACAAAAAAGAAAAGGGAGACACTGATCTAGCAAACACCAGCCTTTACTGAGAATGTTTATCAGCTGATGAGTATCTGGCTCAACCAATAGTTACAGGTTGATATTTGCATATGCACTCTCTGGACCGGATTCTCTCTTTACACCTTCTTTTTCTTTTAACACCAGTAATTCCATTGAGTGAAGTTACTCCTGATTTATAGCAGTGTAAGTGGGAGGAGAATCATACTCTCTACATATACTTATTAAAGACACTTAGAATGCTTTTATAAATTACAGTTGTATTTTTTAAAAATCCACAGTTATCAGAAATTATTATTGTGTCCCTAATATCCATTAGTTTTCCTCTTGAAAGCAAAATCTTGCTAACTCTACAAGTCTGTAGAGGGTGCTGTACACCACAGAAAGGTTTCTGTTTAAATTTCCTATATGGTTATTCTGCTGTGTATCCATGGAAGGAATTGGGAGAAAACTTTTCATGCTTAACAATTAAAAAACCTGTGTTGCATTATAGTAAGTATCACCATGAGGTTGCTTTCTGCGTGGAAAGTTTCTCATTCACAGATAAAGCTTCAGGACAGAACTGCTTAATGTTGCCTTGAGTTCTCTGGATTTCTGTGTACACTGTTAATAAGGAATCATCTAATGTAAGCACAGGCACCGGAGGAATTACATCACATGAAAATTTTATTTCTGTACATTGTCTACAGTTCTCTATTTACATTCCTGTGTTTCTTGCGTTTCGGTGTGACTGTTCCTAGTTGTTTGTGTGGTGTGCAAGTTTTGGTGAAAGTGTTTTTGTGCTTGGTGTCTTGATTCCATTATCTTGTCTGCAGTACTTTTTGGAATTTCTTGCACATGGCAAAATATATCTTTAGGTCATGATTTAACAGAGATGGCTTGATTAGAAAAAGCAAATCTAATGGACATACTTCAGTCTTACTTGCTCATTTAATTTAATAACCTCAATTTTCCTTGCTGAATTCCAAAAAGTAGTTAAGAGAATGGAAGGTGAAGGCAAATTGATGGTAGATGAATGGAATGATGGATGGATAGATAGATGAGTGAGTGAGTGCACTTCTTTTAGGTATCATATTCATAGCATGTCCATGCCTTATTTTATTTTAAAGAATGAATTGTCTACTGTAGGTTTTAAATTGTAGCTATCATCAACCAAAACATAGATCTTGATCCAAAGCTCACTGGAGTCAATGGAGAAACTCCCACTGACTTCAGCAGGTTTTGGTTCAAACCCTTAAAAGACTCTCCAGTACACTCATATTTAACCTAAGACAAAGTTGGTTTTAATCTTAGTTCATCTTATATAAAGGATTTAGAGTTATTGTGGTTAAAGGGTTTTGGGCTTTGTTTGTTTGTTTTACCAATCCCCCAGCTCTGCGGCTGTAAAGAATAGAAATGCACCAATCAGGTCAACTAACCAATGGAAGGGACCAACATTGGTCGAGACCTTTGTGGGACTGCACTGGCATGAGACAACCTTCGACCCATGTGCTCCACCCTGTCAGGTCGTCCAGTGGATGATGGATTCCCTAAAAGCTAAAAAAGAAAAACAACAGGTTTGCAAGTTACACAGCTGGGTGCATAAAAAGGCATGTTAATAATGTCAATCACTTTCAGAAGCATAAGCTCTAAAGGCAACTAAACGTAGTTTTTAACTGAAAGGTTAGCTGAAAAGTTCTACTGATGCCTCCTAAACCTGCAAAAGAAAAATGGTTCCCTGAAAAATGGCACACCCTTTGTAAACAGCAGTCACACATTAGAACAAAGAAAGAATAATAATAATTTTGGAAACATTCTTTTGCCTTTGTCGTTGCTGCTAACTTGGCTCAGAGCACTTTTAACTCTCCCTGAAGAGGACTAAGACCACTCACACTAGAGCTGTGAAGACAGTATATGACGGGGTCAGGTCAGTGCATTTAGTTTTTTTACCTAGATTGTTTTGCACAGTTTGCAGCACATTAAACAGCATATGTCCTTTTCCTCTTGGGTCCTCTGAGAACACTGCTCCTCTCAAAGGGCCTTTTGTGGTTGCAGGCTTTTTAGAAGTCACTAACCCTTGCAGAAGAGATTCATACAAATTTCACCTCACACCACAGCTGGTTCTCTTTCTGTTCACTAATTTGCAATAAATGTTATTATTTTAATGCTTTCCAGGGCGTCTCTTTCAACAGCTGAGATTAAATGCAGCCTTGGCACCAATTTTAATAGGAGAGTTTTTAAATGATCAGTTCAGAATAAACTGCTGGGCTAGGCATACAGCAGCAGCTGAATCTACTCTTACATAAGACATTAGATTGGAGACAGTTGCAGATGAGAGGCTAAAAAACGTATTTAGTTCTTTTTGGGAACAGAGAGGCCTAAAGATGCAAATTCATGAAGGCTCTTTTGTGGGCTAATATATAGAAATGCAAACAGGCAGGATCACAGAGGCACACTTGTGGATTAAGATGTGGAACGGCCTTGGCTTGTCCCTCTGGAAGAAGCCGTTTGTCTGCAATCTCATTTGGAGATGCAGTCTGCAACTTCAAAGGCAAGAAGTGATGGTCTAAAAAAAGAGGGCAAAGAAGTGACAGTGAAGGAAGAAGGTGGAGAATGGAAACATGATGAATCCTGTGACTCCAAGAAGCTTGCTTGGTCACTGTCACTGGGGGAAGATATTTCTTGGTACTTGCCCAGAGAGAAGGACTGAAGATGAAGAGCAATTCCTGAAAATCTGGGAGTGAGGAGAGCAAAAACAACATGACAAAATGGAATCTTTAAGACAGACCATCAAAATAAAAATTTTGTGAAATGCTTTCTTTTTTCCAGTTAAAAATAAAACCTATTTTTACTTTTTAAAGCAATATTCTGATAGTCACTTTAAAGATAAAAACAAACTTTTGGAAAATTATAGTTCAGCTAACCCTTAATTAAAATTTAGATTCAGTTGTCCTTTAACAAAAGCAGCCATTATTGTAATTTGTTCTGTGGGAAAATCATTGTTGTAAAGCAAATTAAACTGATTTCAGCATGATACAAAAGAAGCTTGTCAAGCAAAATGCAGATTAATAAATAAAAAATCATGTGGGGAGGAAAGAAATGAAACAACCACCAGTAGATAGGTCCCAAAGATGGATTTTAAGAAAAAAAAATCAAAAGAAGTGGGAGGAGGAAAAGAAAAGAAAGAAAAGAGATGGATTTGACAGGCAGATGTTAGAAGGAAGTTTTATTTCACACACCAGAGAGTCTTCTGCATCTCTGTGGGATGGCTCTGCATGTGGAACAGCTGCCCTAGAGTCATTCACTTGTAAGTTGATCTTCCAGACTCGCTGAACATCTTTGCTAGTCAAATGATCTGTTCTATTGCATTTTTGAGTCTCAGACTTTCTCTCATAACTGGGCTTGGCCTCCTCACTTCTGGGCTCTATAAAGGAAGGACCCAGGTCATCGAAGTCTTCTTCAATGCTGCTTTGCCTGGTTAAAGTTTTCCTGCGAGCAAGCAATGGCTTTGTGCTTTTTCTGCATGAACAGTTATCTGTCTCTGCACAACAGCTAGGCGCAACATTGGCAGAAATCAAATCATAAGCATTTCTGAAATTAAAACGAGATTCTTCTTCCTCACTTCCACAGTCTAGTCCGCTGTCAGGGCTTCTCGTTAAGGATCTACTGTAGTTATATCCTTTGTCTTCTGAAGCAAAATCCTCCATGCCTGAAATTCTGTGCTTGGCTGGGTACCAGAAGTTGTGCTGTTTGTCTTGATTGTAGGGTCTAAGTGGTCTAGTGCAGCTAGCTACCATAGGTTTCATTTTATAGGGCGTACCAAAACCCTGTTTGTGCAATAGTTCAGAATATTCAACATCCTCTTCGGCTACTTCTGGGATACTGAAAAGCTTTTTACTGTGGTGTATCTGCTGTGAAAAGTCAGGCCGTTCCAAAAAAGCGGCTTCAGTGGTCCTATTCTTTGAGCATTCCTTAACAATATGTGATGTTAAAAAACAGGTGGGGAACAAACAGTGCGTGATAAAAATAAAATGGGAGGGGAAAAGGGGGAGGAGGAAAGAAAAATAAAGACAGAATTAGTTTTAGAGCAATGGCAAACATAAGGCATGCAGTTTATTCAGTGAGGGGGATGTCATGCTCTGAACAGGAATCTGAAAATAAAGACATGATTAAGTTGGCTTGGTGTCAGATAGAACCGGGGAGGTCAGTACAAACACAGCTGATATTGTGATGCTTTAACAAGAATAAACCCATGCATTCAACACAAAGCAATAAAAGCTGCATACAAGTTCAGCCGTGGTGAGAGTGGAGGTGAAGTTAGAATATGGCGCTAGTGCTTAGTGTTCTTTGTGCTCTATGCCAAGCTGGGATTGTTTTCGTCCATGGAGCATATCTCGGAACGCTTTCTACAGCAGAGTTTTCTCTCTTGCTTTGCACCTGTTAAAGCATCCTAGGTGATTAACAAGAAACTCCACAATGCCGTCCTGCCCGAAGACAGCAAACTCAGGGCGGGTATGAAGTCATACAGGGCTCCCTGTAAATGCCAAAACAGGAGTTCTTGTGCCCTCCACAACCTCATAAAAATTGCACCCTCTTTAAGCTTGGCTTCCACAAAAAAGACCCTGAGAACTGGGGGCTACCTGCAGCCATTGGTCCAAACTGGATCTATCATCCTAAATCTGCTTAATGAAACTCTTACTTGACAAGCAACCTGTTACTTGACCCAAATATAAGTTTCGGTACATACCAGATATAAGAAAGAACTACAATGGAGTGAATAAAATCTGAACCGCTTAGATAAATGAAATAAAAGACACATTTTATATTAGGCTTACAAAAATTGAGGAATAGTGTAATTGAAGGATCCTGTGCAAATATGTCTCTCTGGGACTCTGAAGCAGATGCTGGGCTATCCAAATTAATAAGAAAAGAGGTATTGGCTTTGATCTATGGAGCCCTTAGCTATTTGGATCATGGAGACCACCCCTCTCTGTGCTTTACCCCAATGACAGCAATCAGCTTGGGACTTCTGAGCAGACATGCCTGGATTCATACGTGTGGGTAGCAAGGGCAGGATCTTCTAAGTGACTTTGGAATTCTCCTGCCCCTTTGATCCAACAGAGCCTGAGTTTGCTGACATTCCAGGGACATTACAAAGCCCGTTGCTCAGGCTGTCTCTGAGCAGACAGATTGAGCTGCCTTTTGCTTTAGTTTTCTTCAAAGGCTAGAGAGTTTTTAAAGAGTTAATTTTTGACACTACAGTAGAACCGTAGAGTTACAAACACCAGAATTATGAACTTATCGGTCAACTACACGCCTCATTTGGAACCGGAAGTACGCAATAAAGAGGCAGCAGAGACAAAAAAAAAGGGCAAATACAGTACAGTGCTGTGTTAAACGTAAACTACTTAAAAAATAAAGGGAAAGCAGCATTTTTCTTCTGCATAGTAAAGTTTCAAAGCTGTATGAAGTCAATGTTCAGTTGTAAGCTTTTGAAAGAACAACTGTAATGTTTTGTTCAGTTATGAACATTTCAGAGCTATGAACAACCTCCATTCCCAATGTGTTCCTAACTCTGAGGTTCTACTGTATTCATGTGAATGATTTTTGAATACACTTTTTAATTGTCTATCTTCCCAGAGCTTTTTTGAAAAGGTGCCATAAATATGGAAAAAATATAAATAAATATGCATTAGGAATAATTTTGATCAGACTCCAAACATCCTTAAGTTTCATGGATGCTCCAACCTGATATTCAAGTTGGGATCTCCTTCTAGTTTACACATCAGCCTTTATCTGGAGAGCAACTGAAGGGAATAATAATGGCACAGTAAAGTGAGTCATGCATCTCGTACACTTTACTTTTGCATGAGGGTATCTATTAACTTCGTACAGAAAATACTGAATGTCAGCTATCTGCAATCATAGCTCAAAGTGCATGGGTTGGTGTACTTTCAAATGCAAATCGCATATGCATTTGAAAGAGTTCAATTAATGTGGTTTTTGTTTCTTTTTTAATTACAGCAGCTGCAAAGCTGAATCGGATCTAGCAAAACAGGGACACTGTCAAGTATTTTAGTTCTAGAATCTGATCTAAAACTTAAAGCAATATAGTTATAAATGCAGTGGTGAGCGTCCTCCAAATTCTAAACGTACTCCATGTGCCCTAAATTTATGTGGCATTCTCACATGAAATTCTGCTTCTGCACAGCCATTCAAACAACAGACGTTAACAATGAACCTTGGGGCAGCTCCTCAGATTGCATTAAATCAGCATATACCCACTGACTTTAACAGAGCTATGATGATTTACCCCAGCTGAGGATCTGGCCCATGTGTTCAGAGTTGGGCTGACAGTACCGTTAATGCAGATGTAAAAAGTAAAGAACCAGAGAAGCCTAGGGATAATTCAGTGTTTGCCTAGTGGCAGTTAGAGCCATTTCATTTTCAAGCTTTTATGAGGATACTAAACAGGAGAATGAAAGATTTTTTTCTGAAAATGTACTTGCCAGAATGTTTTTATAAGTTGCATAAAATCGTAAGTCTGTGTATAAACTATATAGAAGCAGTTATAGCAATGGTTACAATATCCCTATGTATGTACTTTGCATAAGGGTATAGCACGTTCTTTAGTAACACGGCATTTTGGCTGTTGGAAGAATTTAGGTTTCTGTATAATTTCAGTCATATAGCTTGTTAAGAAGAAGCATCTTAGCATGGTATACACATAAGAAGCAGTTACTATATGTCATATTACAGAAAACAGAAATTCTATGTTGGGAAAGTTTAGTGTTTGCAGTGTGTATTCTAATCAGATGAATAAAATCACCTTGTAGGATGAATCCTCTTATGCAGTGTTTGGGACATCATTCCTGACATGTTTGCCATTGTCTCCTCTGCCACCAGAAGCTCATTAATGATCGCGGCACTAAGATTAATGACTATGGGCTTTATCCACGCTATTGGGAATCCATATTGCACTGAATAAAACTCCCCAAATCTATTACTAGCATGCACTAGAAGGATCCCGGGGGTTAGTTCCAAAAACCTGGTCAGTAATATGGAGAGGATGTCCACAGAAGATTTAAATTCAAAGACATGTGTGTGGATGTGCACGCATGCACTCGCACACATCAGAAAACCTCTAGTGATCTGGGTGCACGTCCAATATACTGCAGCACAGCAGCACCCCCAAATGCTCAGCAAAACAGATAATTGCATAACAGCCCAGGACAGTCTTCAATATGTGAAGCTCTTGGTTAATACCAGAGAATTGAGTATTAAGTGGACTTCATAAGGGGAACTTTACTTTATGAACAGTATTCATCCCAGTTCTAGTCTGTAGGCCACTGTGAACTGTAATGTCCACAGCAGACTAACAAAAAAGTGCGTGGAAGGAAGGAAGAATTTGGCTTGCCCTTCTCTGAAGTTTAAACCCCCCTTTTCTGTCACTCTTACCTTGAGTGTGTTGTGTGATGTTACACTGACTCGTCTTCTTCCTCCATCCTCCAGCTGCATTTCTGAGTACAGCTCTTCTTCATCTTCCTCCATGATATCGGATAAGTCGGAGCCCCTACTGCTCTCCGTATGGTACTCCTCACCCTGGCAGTAGTGCGGCTATTGGATGGGATAGAAAAGAAAAGAGCTGCAAGGTTTAAAATCTGAAGTGACAGTGCCCCCACAAATGGGGGGCAAGGCAGCAACTGGCAGCTTGAATGTTGCAATAATACCTTATGTAACCCACACTACCCAGGTGCAACTCTCAGTAGCGCTCAAGTGGCTTGTTAATATAGAGGTTTATTAGCTTGCTCACACCTTAAGTTCCAGAAATCCTGGATTCAGTCCTTACAGATGATCCAACCAGCATTACACTTGCACTTCCACTCCAACCACAAACCTCATGAGACCCCAATTAAACCCCCTCCCCCCTTGGTTTACCCAAGGCCCTGCATGTGTCAGTGGATTTGCTGACCATCTGTTAAAGGCTCTAACTGAGATCGTGAATTCCATTCACACGTCAGCTACTCTTCTTCGTTGTCATATCTGATGTTTGCTATATCTAACAGTAAACCCCACGTGACTCTTCAAGAGCACCATTTAGTTCTTACATAATGTTTCTATATTGTAAATTTTCACTGGCTTATGAGGGTCAATGATCTCATTCTATTCAGGCATCTAGGGAGAAGAATTGATAGAATTTTATGTCCTGCTAGAGTTAGTTCCACTAAATTGTCTGTGTTTTCAACTAGGTGAAACGGATGGAAGAAATTAGCTATTTTATTGAATTGCTGCTGTTAAATTTAACTGTCTTTGGTAAATTCTTGTTTTGCTTTACTAGTGTCATGATTTATATCCACAGTCCAGATAACAAACCGAACATTACTGTGATTCTACATGTACAGGTATATTTTTAAAATGAGGCATCTAATTTTCTGTACAAAATCACACTGGTGCTTCAGATCGGTAAGCAGTTTCATCTGCTTGTGCAAATGATTAAGTTGAGGCCCACTTAAAAATTATGGGCCCAAAAGTGTCTCATGTGCACTATGTAAAAACTAAAATGCAAATCTCAATGTAGCCGATAACACATCTTCCTACTCTGTTGGTGTAATCTTCCCATTCTCAAAATACGGCCAGCAAAAAAGTACAGCTCTTTATATACAGTTTGAGTCTGAAGCATATCAGTTCAGGATAGGGTAGGCCCAAACAGAAATTCCAGATCTGAATATATTTGAAATGTGAAGTTTGGCTCCAGATCCAAATTTCATTGGACAGATCCTCAGCTTGTGTATTCCAGTGTACACTGATTTATGACAAGGATCTAGTCCTGCATTTCTATAATGGGCCAGAGCAGAGGCTAGGATCCAAACACCCTTCGGTCTAGATATGTTCAGATTCAAATGTGAACTACCCAGCTCAGTCCCACCTTCAGTGTCAAGGGAGCTGTACTGTATGCTGTAGAGACAATTTCCAGGAGCAAACCTATTTGCATCAGAAAAAGAATTTTGGAGAATAAGTTACTGAAATACTAGAATGTCAAGGAGCAGAAGTTACTCTATTTCCCCAGAAGAAATACTACAGCAGAAACAATCTTCGTAGACCAGAATCAATTCCTATAGTTCCATAATGTATTGGCATCAATAAACTGCTGTAAACTTCCAGAAATGAAATTAAATGTCTGCAGTAAGCAATTACCCTGAAGTGAAAATATGTTCACTCTCCAAATATTACAGCAGACTTGCACTCTCTTGATCCCTAGAAGATAGTTCTGGAGATCTCAGTGTGTATCTCTACAACGGGGTCGGCAACGTTCGGCATGCGGCTCGCCAGGGTAAGTACCCTGGCGAGCCGCGTGCTGAACGTTGCCGACCCCTGCTCTACAATGTGCCTCAGCTGTATGAGATGTTCATTAATGCTAAGATTCTTCTTTCATTACTTATGGGAGCCAGCTTGGTCCAGTAGATCAGGCGCTGGCCTGGGAGGCAGAAGACCATAGTTCTATTCACAGTTCTGCTGCTGATCTACTGTGTGACTTTGGGCAAGTCACTTCTCTCTAAGCCTCCCTGTCCCCTATGTAAAATGCAGATAAGGATACTTACTTTCCACTGTAAAATACTTTGTGGTCTATGTATAAAAGCTAAGGATTGTTATTATTGAGGGTTGTGAGATCCAGCCCTTTATGAACACTTTGTTGCTATCCAAGGGAATGGGATCAAACCCATTAATGTTTTCAGTTTCCCACAGCTGTATTACGATGAGAGGGTAATTTTAAGAACAAAAGCCACTGTAGGAGTTAATGCTTTCAGTTAGTTTATGAAATGAAAGATTCCCAGAATTCGGTCTGGTGCTCTCACTTTCACCCGTGCCATTCCAATGGAATCTTACTTCCAATTTCAGTGAGTCAAATCCTGTTCTCAGTTATCCCCAAGGGACCTCATTGGGGGCTGCACTGTGTAACTGAGAGCCGCGTTTGTGATATCGTGTAGATTATCAAAGGTTGTTATTGCCAGAGAAAAGCTGCACAGCTACATAGCAGGAACTTTCAAACTATCTCCAATGCTTATCTGCTTTTGATTTAATAACGGAGGTGTCTGTTAAATACCCACCAATTATTTAATGAAAACCTTCTAATTGAGGTGTTGGAACTTGTTAAGACATGTAATGCAATTAGCTCAAATTTATGTAAGCAATAATTGTACAATTACATTCTGTGTTGGTAATAGATTAATTCATTACAAAATATTGAAGCATCTAATGGGCACGTAACAAGATATTGCAGCTCAAACTATTTAAACAGACTTTTCAAAAATCATTGTGTTTTGGGCCCCCATCCTGCAAACCCATGCACAGCCTTAACTTTAAGGCAGTGAGTAGTCGCAGTGTAGTCAAGGGTAAGCCTGGAATATTTTTATTTCAATGGTAGTTAGCCTTTAAAAATCCTAATTGCCTTGTCCAAAGTCACACAGGAAGTCTGTGGCAGATCCAGTGACTGTTTTGATTTGGAAGGGATGTGATCTATATAATCACAAATGGAATTTTTTTAAATCCATATATTATATTACACAATTACAGACCGTGGCAGTCATTAGTAACAACAGAACACCACTGTTGAACAACATCCTTTTTACCTGTATTTGTGGTTGCCTGCTTTGATTTCTTTCTTTCTATCTACTTCATGCCAAAAGCTTTTAATTGGGCATAAATGCCCAGTATGGCATCAACTTCAGAATACAAATTGGTACACACAGATTAAAGCCACACTATAATAAGCTAACAAACTATTGATTGCCTTATAGTGAAATAAACTACCAGATTCTTTCAAAACTGCATTTGACCACAATCACGCCTAAAATCTTATTATGCAGTGCAGTTGTTCAGTTTTCATAAATAGTTCAAATGAGCAATTAAGCTGCTAGTAGGGGCCTCTCTTATATAGCTGAAATATAAACAGGTAATAATCAATTTGTATTTAATCAACACAGAACAGCTGCCTCACGAAACAGAATTCCTCTATTGAGCTGAGAAACTTTAAAGTGTTACTTTTTAGGGGAAAGGAATAGGGGTATTTTGGCACAGTAGGTGTAGGGTAACCATATGTCCTGATGTTAGGGGCTTTGTCTTCTATACGCAACTATAGCCCCTCCCACCCCAAAATAAAGGTGTCCCATTTTTTCAGACTTGCTATCTGGTCACCCTAACTGGGTGTGACCCTAAGAACCCCTCAATGCCAACTGGCAAAGGGTTCACTGTTCCGTAACAGTAACTCCTGAGAGGCCTGACAAACTCACTACACCCAACATGCTGTTTTCATAGTAAGAGGGTCAAGTGAGGTCTAATAAAAGCTTATGTCATACTGGTCCTCAATCATTGTGAGATATATGTAAGGATGATATTTAAGGAGTTGTGTACATATACTGTTTTAAAATCTGAATCAAAACAGGGTTGTCAGGCACGTTTTGACCAGACAAAGGATGTATATTCACCTGCCTGCCTCAGTTCACATTAACAAAGGCATTGTAAGCCAACACAATGGAAGGCCGTTTGCATATCATGTCAAAATGTGGCTGTGAAGGTAACATGGAGCCAACACACCAGGGAATAAACCAAGGGGGTTCATCCTGACTCGGGGAACAAAATCATGAACTTTGGTGATATAAAAAGAAGGCCAACAGGACACCCCTTTATCCTTTACTGAGGAAGCAAAAAGGACAGCGATTTTTGCATTCATGAAAGGGGGATCCCGACCATGTTGGCTGGAGATGCTGAGAGAGAGCTTTAGGTGAGAGAAACTACTTTAGGCTGTTAGCCTGTTAAAGTTAAGTTTAAACTCTAGGAAATGTATTATACTTTTTGTTTTATATGTCATCATTTCTCTTCCCATTGTTATCCCTACTCACTATCTTTTAAATCTTAGCCTTAATTTATGACTGTTCTCACTATAAATATATCAGTGCTGGGATGTTATATTGGAGATGATCCTCTGTTGAATCAAACATGCAGGTGTGTGTATTGGTCTTTTGGGACAGCTTACCTGGTAATTTCTGTGTGTCCCCAGTGGTTAAGAGCTGGACACTGCGGGGGAACACTACAAAGGGGTCTGGGGTGCACCTGTTGCTAACCTGCAAGGCAAAACAAGGGCTGGCATGGCCCTGAGGAGATTGGATGGTGTCACAGATCTGACACCCAGTTAAGCACAATCAAGTCTCTCTCTCTCACTGAGGCAGGGGGTTACAGTACAAGGAGATCACAATCCTGGGTATCTCGAGAAAGTGTCACAATGGGTTAATGCACTTAGGAACTGTTCTATCAGTAAAACAGACAGGGGTTTCAAAGTGGGCTTACAAAAATGGAGACAACTAAAATCTATCTTAGTTTTCTATACGACTCCCATTATTGTAGCGTCTGAGCACCTTACAATTTTTAATGTCCTTCCAACACTCTTGTGATACAGGGCAGTGCTACTGTTCCCATTTTACAGTTGGGGAAACCTAGGCAGAAAGATACTGAGTGACTTGCCCAAGGTCACACAGGATGTCTGTGGCACTGTAGGCAACTGAACCTAGCTCTCCGGAATGCCAGGCTAGCACCTAAATAATGGACCAGACTTCCTTATGTAATCAATAGTCGCTTTAGAAAATCTTGGCCTAGATGCACACAAAATAATTTTAAATTGTATTACATCTATTGGTTTAATCAACCTGGTGCACCTTTAAGTTTCGCCTGTAAACTGCTCATTTGCTGCACAAGTCAGGTAATTGCATGTGCAATCAGATACTTTCATGTAACAGTGTGTTTTGAATACACAATTTCCATAGCTGCAGACTCAGATGCACCTTGCACATGTGTCTGGAGAGCATGTATATCGTTTGTAGGTGCAACCTGTGTGCAGGAGTTCTACAAATTTGAACTACTGCCTCTACAGATGGAACCAACCCCCCAAGCCAAACATCTTTGAGGGGATTTAAAATCCAAAACAATATCAATATCTTACAAATGCCACTCTCTTGATAATGAGCTGAACCAAAATCCCAGAACACCCAGGAAACCTGTGTGTGCAAAGCAAATGTCACTGCTTGACCTCATCTGTAGCCAATGATTTTAGTTTGTTGTTCATTTATTGTGTGATGTTATGATTAACTAACATGGTATGTCATATATAATCATTGTATACTAAATAGCGTTAAATTGTAGGATTATAGAAGTATAAGCTTGATCTGTAGTTAGAAGGGATAAGTATGCATTAGTTATCTAAGTAAGTAGGGCTGAAATGCAAGGCCTACAGGCTGAGGCCTGTAAGATTTTAGCTTAGCCATACTAGGTAGGGTTACCATATCTCATAAATAAAAAAAGAGGACCCTCCACGGGCCATGGCCCCGCCCATTTCCCCACCCTAGCCCCGCCACAACTCCGCCCCTTCCCCACCCTAACTCCGCCCCCTCCTCCCTCCCACTCCCAGCCAGGGGGAAAGGGCTGCCCCAGTGCTACCAGCATCACGGTTTCCCGGGCAGCCCCCAGACCCTGCGCCCCCAGCCGGCGCTTCCCTAGCGCAGCTGGAGCCCGGGAAGAGAAGCGCCCAGCCGGGGGCGCAGGGTCTGGAGGCTGCCCAGCAAACCGTGAAGCCGGTAGCGCTCGGGCTTTGTGCAGCCCCTATGCCTCCGGACCCTGTACCCCCAGCCGGGCACTTCCCCTCCGGGGCTCCGGCGGCTCTGCGTAACTTACACTGTATAAGTTACACAGAGCCGAAGAGGAGCAGAGCCCCCGCAGCTGGAGGCTCTGCTCCTCTTAGGCT